TTAATTTGTGATGTTACACAAGAGAAAGCATGGGGGTAAAAAAAAAAGTCAGGAAAACACGCCAGGTTAGCCAGCTGCAACAAACGATGCAAGGAACCGTTTGGCACTTAGAATAAGCAGGTCACGTTTGGAAAGGCTGTTTCTACCACCGTAACTAGAGAAGTGCAGAGGTGTTGCTAACTGAGGAGGAAAAACCATCGAGTTGGCTCATTGCCTTTTCCAGCAGTGAAAGGAGGAGATAACACTGCTTCGGCTCTGCTGCCCCAGAGGAGATGTGTGGGCAACACAGTGAATCACTAAGCCCCAGGATGATTGCCACTGGAAGGAACTGGTGGCAGACAGGAACTGCCAACCAGACATGGGCTTTCCAGACTGCAAACGCGACTTCACCAATGTCCAAACCACAGAAGTCTACTTCTTCTCTCGGGAAAAAAAAAAAAAAAAAAAAAAAAAAAAAAAAAGCCAGGATCAGCTCTCGGCTAGTCTCAGGGATGAAACAGAGCACTGAGTACATCCAGAAAAAACCATGGAGCCAAAAATCAAAAGGCAAATCCAAGTTTCCTAACAAGGGCATGGAACAGGGCTACAGATGGACAAGCCTGCCTTCTGTCCAGGTCTACCACCCACTCCTCCTCCTCCCCAGCCTTGCAGGCCCTGGGTTTCAATATTTCAGGCTACAAACTCTCACAAGAGGATCCTGTGTTACTTGCCCTGGTCATATCAGTTTTCGGGGCCAAACACCTACACTGCAATATAAAGAAGAATGGCAGAGAGTCCATAAGACAAAGTGGGAAAAACCCAAGAAACCTCTCTCCAGGAAAATTTCCTTCTTCCATTTAGGTTGCATCTTGGGGAAGGGAAAAAGTGGGAAACAATCTTCATACTCACGTTCCCGTAAAATAGAATGCCTTCTAAATGGCATCACCCATACCATGCACACCCGGTTTTAGGAACTAAATCTCATTGACTAGTTCAGTCTTCCAATTCTTGTGTAATAAATTTTGACAAATATTTTGGATCTAAAGCTATATATTTACTACAAGATATGTCACTTTTTTGGAGCACCTCTCAAGTGAAAAATAGAAAAAGTATATCTACTATAAATATTTTTAATCTACCGACCAAAGAAACATACTTCTTACTAGCAGTCGAAAAACACTGCCTCATCAAGTGAAAATTTCCTGGTGTGCAAGGAATACAAAAAGCAGTCTGAAATGCCAGCTGCCATGTCTGGGGTGGGGTAGGGTAGGGGTGCTGCCAAAGCCATGGATGAGGATGAATTATTCTTCGGAAAGACACTTACTGAACAGAACCAAATGGACAAACAAAGCTGGAGAACATTAAGAGAAAATCTAAACACTCTAAAATGGTCAGCTGTTAAGGGAAAGATTGAGGAGAAAAATCAAAGCAGGAAATACTGGGTGGCTACATATTTTTAAAAGATATTCTTTTTAATTGACATAGTTGTACATATTTCTGAGTACAGTGTGACAATTCAATACAGGTATATGATGTATAACAATCAGGGTAACTGGCATATCTATTACCTCAAATATTTATTATTTGTGTCAGAAACATTCAAAATCCTACTAGCTTTGTCGACCACAACTATTCTACTGTGCTCTAAAACACAGGTTACTCCTGATACCCAACTGCACCCCTGTACCCATTAACCATCCTCTCTCCATCTCCCTACCCCCAGAGTAACTGTACTTGTATTTGTAGGATTAAAAGCACTGTCCTGAGCTAACACAACCTTCTAATTAAGTTACAACAAACCACAAGATGTAATGGATTAGCCTTTGCCTGCTCAGAGATGATTCTTACTGAACAAAATGTAACCAGCAGACAGCATGTTACAAATAAACTTACACTTCAGGCCAGCACCATGGGGTAGCAGATTAAGCTGCCGCCTGCAGTGCCAGAATCCCATATGGGCGTCAGTTCAAGTTCTGGCTGCTCCACTTCCAATCCAACTCTCTGCTATGCCCTGGGAAAGCAGTAGAAGATGGCCCAAGTGCTCAGGCCCCTGCACCCAGGTGGGAGACCCAGAAGAAGCTCCTGGCTTCAGATCAGTGCAGCTCCGGATATTGCGGCCAACTGGGAAGTGAACCAGCAGATGGAAGACCTCTCTCTGCCTCTCCTTCTCTCTCTCTGTGTAACTCTTTCAAATAAATAAGTCTTTATAAAAAAAAACAAACTTATACTTGAGAAGGTTTCTATAAATTAAAATCTATAAATGCACTAGGGCAATTCATTAGATATAAAACTAAATTTCTCACCAAAGCAAAGAATTGTACATAAAGTACATAATCATTTTTCTAAGTTGTTTGGTGTATAAACCCTGAATTTCAAATATCAGGTAAAACAAGCTCATTCACAGAATACAAATAACTAAAATGCATTTGAAAAAAAAATGTTCAACCTCACCAATACCCCAACAGATGGAAATTGAAAAGACTTAACTGCTAGGCCAAACACATGTCTCTTGTCATGAACTTTCTGAACATCCTCTCATGTACTAAAATAAAATTTAAAAAAAATTTAAAAAGCATTGCAGAATGATAAACTCATGATCCCTTTTGAAAGATCAAGTAGGCCAGTGCCGTGGCTCAATAGGCTAATCCTCCGCCTTGCAGCGCCAGCACACCAGGTTCTAGTCCCGATCGGGGTGCCAGATTCTGTCCCGGTTGCCCCTCTTCCAGGCCAGCTCTCTGCTGTGGCCAGGGAGTGCAGTGGAGGATGGCCCAAGTGCTTGGGCCCTGCACCCCATGGGAGACCAGGAGAAGCACCTGGCTCCTGCCATCAGATCAGCGCAGTGTGCAGGCCGCGGTGGCCATTGGAGGGTGAACCAACGGCAAAGGAAGACCTTTCTCTCTGTCTCTCTCACTGTCCACTCTGCCTGTCAAAAAAAAAAAAGAGAGAGAAAGAGATCAAGTAGATGAATGAGTCAGTGAGTGAGCAGATGTCTTTTATTTTTTATTTTTTTATTTTTTGACAGGCAGAGTGGACAGTGAGAAAGAGAGAGAGACAGAGAGAAAGGTCTTCCTTTTGCTGTTGGTTCACCCTCCAATGGCTGCTGTGCACCGCGCTGATCCGAAGCCAGGAGCTTCTCCTGGTCTCCCATGGGGTGCAGGGCCCAAGCACTTGGGCCATCCTCCACTGCCTTCCCGGGCCACAGCAGAGAGCTGGCCTGGAAGAGGGGCAACCGGGACAGAATCTGGCACCCCGACCGGGACTAGAACCTGGTGTGCTGGTGCCGCAAGGCGGAGGATTAGCCTAGTGAGCCACGGCGCCAGCCGCTCAGATGTCTTAAAACCAAAGCTGTCCCTGGATATGGAAGAGACAAGGGTATACAATTTCACATTTTATTTTATACATTTTTAAATGTGTATGAGTGTCACATTTATAACTCAGGTAAAGAAGAGTTAGGTTGATGTGAGCCTGTTAATCTGCAAATCCACTACAAACTTGATAGCTGCTTTCTGGGAGAAACCAGGCAGAACCCTCTTGTAGCCTAGTAATACAACCACTCTGATTTTCACTGACAAAACCTGCTTGGATAAGCAGGTCTAAGAGGGACCAACTGCATTCTGAATTATTCTTATGCAGAAAAAACAGGTTTTAAATAACATACAACTTTCTCCAAGACGAGTGATACTATTTTGGAAATTCAGAAAAAAAAAAAAATTTCAGTTTCCCTAGGTCCTCAACCAAATGAAATACCTCAAGAAAAGAGTGGATGTGATCCCTTTAGTGAAGAATCTTACATATTTAACATCTCACATCTTTAAACTTCCTGAAATCACATCCATGCCTAGATCCAATTCTCACCTCTAAGGTTCAGGCCCACAACTCTGAGAACCAGGAAGAACAAACACCTGCCTGTCATCTTTTAGAGAGACAGGTACAACACACCTTTCTCTTTATCTTAAAAGAAAAATGCCTTGATTCCCAAATGTAGCTTTCAAAATGATTTACTCAGTAAGGGTTTTATCAGAACATCTCGGCTTAAGACAATATCAATGAATACATCATTAAAAACTCCATCTAAAATTATGTTTAGAGAACACAGAAACAAGTTGACAAATTTAAACTTTTTAGAAGGTAATCAACCACCAGCACAATTTCAAAGTTGTAAAATGTACACACCTCTAATTCACTTATTAAACAGTGTTTGGATAACATTTTCCAGGCTACAATGTACTTTCCACCTGCCCTAATAAATGTGTGCCCAGATGGGAAATGTAACAAGAACTAAGTAAATATAATATAGACAATCAGCAGAGGAGCCAGGATCGAGCTAGCGAAACTGTGAAACCTTCACAATCTATAAAATGGTTTTTAAAAAAGCAGGATGAGAGTTTGAAAAGATATCTGATGTGTGTGAAATGCAACTACAGATCAGAGGGGGAAACGATGGGTCTCTTTCTGAATGCGATACAGGATCCTGTATGTTGTCAGATATTTAAGGCGAAAACAGAGTGTGCCACACTGCCACCCTGGAACAATCGCTCCTCAAAGAATCACTGGCATACACATGAGACATGCAAATTCTGCTCTGGAAACAAAACACAAGAACCTTACTAGAGTAACGTGTGGCCCAAAATTAGGTGCAGTGAGTCCAATCCAACACAGAGGTAAAAGGGATACAGTACAAAGAGGAGGAACAAGAAAAAAAAGTCACATGAATACAAAGTGATTCCTTTTTTTCCCCTCAACGCCCACACAAAGACGGCAGTTTCTGACAAGAATGTTCTCAGCAAAAATAAAATCACAGGAATTTTTCAAAATGAGTAAAAGGCAGCTCTCCATATCCATTACTAGACAATCTGGTTGACTTCTAGAAAAGGCCCAAACTTGGGGCCCTTGTGTTTCAAGAGGTTATTTTATTTATTTATTTATTTTTTACATCACAAAGGATGGCCGGGAACACATTTCGTGTCTGCAGTGCTTACTTCATGTTGTACTTGAAAATAAAATCCAGTGAGACAGCTTACCTTGGCACTGGAAGCCTTGCTTCCCAAACCCCCTGAAAAACAGAAACAAGAATAAAACAGCTTAACAGAGTCTGTGTGGCACAGCACATTTTAAACAAGCTATAGGACAAAATGTTCTACAGAGTTAAAGGTTTGGACCTCCTATCTGGGGAGCTGCTAGGAATGACATGTCCAAGTACCTGGCGAGATCACGGTACAAATTCAACTTGGAAAAAAGTCTCTCTCACCTAGAAGGGATCCAAGAAACATCTCATCACATCAAGCCTCTTTCCAGTTCTTTTCACTCTGTTACTGACACTTAAATTTCAAGACAAGAACACGACAGGGATAATCAAGCAACCAAGAGGAGGTTATAGACAGAGCGGAAAAGGAAGTGGCTGAATTTTGTTCCTAGGGACCAACAGAGAATTGTTTTTCTCCCTATAGAGAGTTAAAGAGTGGCTTATGGGAGTTTGGCTAGCGCTAGACACATGATATTTTAACCAACAGCACCACTTTTAACATTTAATTTTGGCTGGTGGAACCAGATTTTATGAAATATTATCCCTACTGTTTGCATCTCAGATTATCATGATCTAATTTTTAACAACAGCACCCAAGAATTTACCCTGCAAGGACAAACTCCTCAGTTGCAAACATTGTGCCCCTAGGGACGAACTGCACTGAAATTCTCAGGAGGTCCTCGGTTGTAATCTCTTGCTTTACATAACATTTGAAATGTATACAACACTTCACATACCTTCATACTTAACTTAGGAGTTCTCCCCCCCCCCCAAAAAAAAAAGAAAACTGCACATAAATCCAAATATCTAGCCTTAAAATATCAGTGCTGTAATACTGAAGTAAAATCAAGGACCCACCGAAGCAATACTGGAAGAAAACTGAAAATCAAGAACCAACCTTTCCCTGGTATTCCCCGGGGCTGCCTGTTAGGTGTGGACGCTGCCAGGTGCACCCAGGGCGGGCAGAGAGGAGCCCTTTCCTGTCCAGGGCACACTACACCCGGAGACCTCGGTGCCGCATCCGCTCCAGCCTTCGGGGCAGCACAGCGCAAAGACTAGTCAGCCTGCCAGCCCCACCGTCCCTCTTCCAAGTTACCCACTTCGGGCAAAAGGAATCGCCGGCAGTCCCTTCTCTTTTAGCGCAACCTCACAGCTGACCCTGCAGGCAGCAGCCCTCCGCCTGGGCAGACGCGCCCGGGCGCTCCAGAAACTTATTTTAAGCAGCCTTATCTAGGATTCCCTACTCCTGTGAGCTCAACTCCTCCATATGCGGACTACTCGGTGGAAACCATTCATAGAGGTGGCTGTACTTTTCCAAAAAGCCTGTATTTTTAAGCGGATTTCTGAAAAGGCAAAGGTCAAGCCTAAACACCCCATTAGCAGCACTTTCAGAGAGCTCGCCTGTTAGCACCTTTTCCCCCAGGTGTGATGGGGTCAGACGCAGCCAACCAGGCAACGCCCACCCCGGAGCCCCCAGGACACGCGTGCCTGGGAGGGGAGCTGGCTGGTGCCAGGGCACGCCCTGGGCACCTGGGGGCGGGGGGACTAGGGAACCCCAGCCGCAGCCCTGGAACTGCCCACCGGTGTCCTGAGGCAGAACCAACCACTGCGACCCCGAGGGTAGGACCCGGGGAAGACGGGCCCTTCACCTCGCGCTCCCTGAACTTCCCGGGGGTGGGGAGGCCGAGGACCTGAGACCAATGGTGCCCTTTCCAGCTATGGATCCCGCAGGTGCCCCAAACGAGCAGCGGCTGCGTTTCTTGGAAGTCACCTCACTCCGGCACCTTTAGCCATCGGGGTATTTTTCTTAAACAAGGCCTCTGTCCTCCTCCGCCGGGCTACAGGTCTAATCTCGACAGGGTCTAATCTTGACAGGGTCTATTTAAAAAAAAAAAAAAAAAAAAGACTCCCTCTGCCCTCCTGCCACTCGCCTGCTCCGCTTCGACCCCCTCCCCCCGCCGCGAGCTTCCAACAGTTTGCTCGCTCTCCTGTTTCTCCCCCACCCCGGGCTCACCCAAGGGAGAGAAAGTCTCCGCGCGCCCAGCAGAGCCCGGCTCCGGGAGCCGAGGGCAGCACAAACACACGCCCCCGAGCGCGCCCGGGAACTCCGCGCCGCCGCCGGCTCCCTGGTCCTCTGCCCCCCGCCAGCCCGCGGCCGGCTCGGCCGGGCCGGGTGCGCCCCGGCGAGGGGAGAGGCCCCGGCCCGGGCCCCCTCCCGCGGCAGAGCGGCGCGCGCGAGCCGAGCCGGCCCGGGCGAGAGTTGGGACTCCCGCCGGCTCCGCAAGTTGCCCGAGGGCGGCCGCCCGTGCGCCCGGCGCGCACCTACCAGATGAAGTCGGTGCAGTGGCTGCAGAAGGTGGGCTGCTTGAAGAAGCGCGCGATGAATTTGTGGTCTTTCACCTCGTGCACGTTCTTCTGCCTCAGCGCCCCTTTGCGGGCGAAGCGGTTGGCCACGTCCTGAGACGCCGTGGAGTCGTTGGCCGGGAAAACGTCAGCCATGGTCCCCCCCAACCACCTCTTGCCTCCGCCGGGGAGCGGCAGCCGGCGAGGGCCGGGGTGGGCGGGGGCGGGCGGGGGAGGGGCGGCGGGGCGAGGGGCGACCCCGGGCGCGGGGCGCGGGCTGGAGGCGGCGGCGGCCGGGGAGAGGCGAGCGGGCGCGGCGCGGCGCGGAGCCGGAGCCGCTCGCTGGCTCTCTCTCGCTCGCTCGCTCGCTTGCTCGCTGGCCCCACGCTCACTGACAGCCCGGCGCCCGGCGCTCGCGCTTCCTACTCGCGGCGGCGAGGCGGCCCGGAGCGGCACCGCCCACTGCGCATGCTCCCCGGGCTGGAGCGGCGGCGCGGGCGCGCGCGGGCTGGAGCGGGGGCGCGCGCGCGCGGGGGCTGCGCTGCTCGGCGCGGGCGGGACAGGGGCGCTGGAGCCCAGGCGAGACGGCGGCGGCCGCCGGCGGAGGACTGCCCCGCGCGAGGGAGCCGGGAGGGCCCGGCCGGCCCTTCGCTGCCCTCTCTCTTCCTCCTCCCGGCGCTCCTTCCTCCTCGTTCTCCTCCTCTTCTTCCGCTCCGCTCGCCCGGCCTCCTCCTCCTCTCTCCGCTTCTCCTTTTCGGGATCGGGGTTCTGAGCCTCCCGGAGCCCCCTTCCCCGTCTAACCGCGCCGGTTCGCAGTTGCACCTGGCTGCAGCGCCAGCCCCCGCCCCCGGGCACAGCCCCCAGAGCTTCAAGCTGCCCACAGGTGGCCGGAGAGAGAGGAGCAGCCTGAACCTCGGGGCCCTGACCCTCTCCCCCTCCCTCGGCCGTTGACGGACTTGTGGCCCACGGGTTGTGGAGGCGTCTGTTCCAGACCTCAGGCGTGCCCGCCACCTGGGATCGCTGGAGATTTGTCCTGCGAGTTCACCGGCTCCCAGGCTTTCTTGATTTTACAAGTCCAGAGCCTTAATTTAGAAACCATTTTGTATCCTAAGCTAATTACTGCAATAGTGGCAGGTGCAGAGTGCAGCCCGAACATTTGTAAATTACCGAGTGAGAGTGCTTGTGGAAGAGTGGCTGGCATGGGTATGCGAAGGACACACGTGGCAATGTACCAACTAATCACTCGCTGAATATTCAGTAGGTCTGCCTGGAAGACACTAAAACAGAAAGCAAACAACCATCTCGCAGCATTTCATTATTGTTTTTATTTGCCAGATTCACTAAGTTCACAAAACAACTTCACAAGGTGAAGACACCAGGAAAGAGAGCTCATTGCCGAATCCTGCAAGAAACTTTTAAAAAGACAACTTTTCGAAGCTATAAACCACCTTGGAGAGAGTGTATCATCCAGACCACCACTTTGATTTTTTGCAAATACCTTTTAATTGTGATGCTGGATAATAGGGATTGTATTTACATTTTAACGAGTGGAGGCTGTGGGCCGGCCATTAGTGGAGCCTGCATTTGGCTGACCCATTTATGATCCCGTGCACCAATGCTGATGCTTCGACACTGCACCTGCTTAGCATCCTCTCTGGTCAGAAATTCCACCACTCACGGCAGCGCTTCCAGCCCAAGGACTCAGGGAAAGAAGGAAGAGCAGGGCCTGTTGGGAAAACAGATCCAGTTCATCGCCAAACACCGCCAGTGTCTCAAGCCACGGTTGTTTATTGCTTAATAATCATCAATCAAATGGAGCACAGCAGAGTGAAACACAGCTTCCTCCCAGAGCCATCTTTATCCAGGGCAGAGGTCCCGCTGCATCTGATGAAGATAAGCTTCTCTGTCTCCACCTCCCTCCCCCAGGGCTTTGACGTTTGCAGGGTGAACCTGCTGTCAAAGCCCTGAGCCACGTCTGGGGAAGCTGAGCAAGGGTTACATGGGCCTGGGCAGCAGCCGTGCCAGCTCCTACGGAAAGAATGGAGCACCTGCTTCCAGCTGGGAGGAGATGGGAGGGGCTGTGTGTCTCCTCTCAGGTTGTGGTGCTGCTGTCTTGCCTCAGTTTCCCTTCCGTGTGGGTATGGGGGAAATGACTGACTGGAAGTCGGTTGATTGATGGGTGGGTGGGGCGTGAGTGCATCCACTGCCCAAGTTTTAGCTTGGTTTTGGGGAGGGGCAGCATACCTCGAGTGGAGAATTACCAGTTACCAAGCAGTGTAACAGGGCCTTGGCAAAGGCTGATGGCAATAGTGGGCCACCACTCACTCATGTAGCCCACCTGAGGCTTCCCCATTGTATAACTAAAAGGGGAGGGATTGAGGAAGGGAGAGCCCTCTAGGACAAGGGTAGCCCATCAGTCATGGACGTTGGTAATTATTTTCAAGTGTGCTGGAGATGGAGCGGGTGCAAGGAAAAAAAAAAAAAAAAAAAAAAAAAACAAGGAATCCTAGGCTGACCTCAGATGTCCAAATCCTACTGTCTGCCCTGCCTTTGGGGAACAAGCTCAAGTCTCTCTGGAGAGGTGTCACCTGGACCAGGGAAATCCAGAGGCTGAATCGAAGTCAGGGCACTGAACTGATTATTCAGAATCAGACTGGTTTACTTCAAACCAATATCTTTTTTTAAAAAATATATTTTATTTACTTATTTGAGAGGTAAAATTACAGACAGAGAGGGAAAGACAGGTCTTCCTTTCTCTGGTTCACTCACCAAATGGCTGCAACAGCTATAGTGGGGCTGGTCAGAAGCCAGGAGCTTCTTCTGGGTCTCCCATGTGGATTCAGAGGCCCAAGCACTTAGACCAACTTCCACTGCTTGCCCAGGCCATAGCAGAGAGCTGGATTGGAAGAGGAGCAGCCAGGACACAAACCAGCACCCGTATGGGATACCAGCACTACTGGTGGAGACTTAGCCTACAACATCACAGTGCTGACCCCAACCAATATCTTAAAAAAAAAAAAATATTTATTTATTTACTTGAAAGAGTAATAAAGAGACAGAGGCAGAGAGAGACCAATCTTATATCCACTAGTTCACTCCCCAAATGGCCACAACAGCCAGAGCTGAGCCAGGCCAAAGCTAGGAGCCAGAAGCAGCTTCTGAGTCTCCCACATGGGTGTAGGGACCTGAGTACTTGGGCCGTCTTTCACTGCTTTCCCAGGTACATTAGTAGGGAGCTGGATCTGAAGTGGAGCAGCCAGGACTGAAACTGGTACCCATATGGGGTACCAGTGATGCAGACAGTGGCTTTACCTGGTATGCCCCAGTGCCAGCCCCTCAAAACCAGTATCTTTAAGAGACAACTTACAACCTGTTGCTCCATGCAGCTAACTGGGTCTCTTCAAATAGACCAGGCCATCTTAAACTTGGGCAATAGGGACTACTTAAAGTATAGAAAAATCTTGGTTGAGATTTCTAGTTAGCCAGATGGCTTAAAGCCTCATGCATTGTAGTCAGGGGTTAGGGTTTGTCTTCCCAGAAGGGCATCATTTTCTAGTGCAGGTAAACGGACATGGAGGGTCAACGGAGGTCCTGGGTAGCCTCGCTGTTGATCCCACTTGGCTGTGTCTCTGCTGAAAGAGCTTCTGTGGGCAGCTGTCCTGGAGTGGGAGCTTGGGGACTTCTGAGCGAGCCTTGTTCTCGGGCCTCTCTCTGACTCTTCCAGCTGCAGCATCGCTAACCGTGGAATGGCTGAAGTTGAGAAGTGAGGCCTGACTCTTGTTCTTCCCTTGATCATCTCCCTACTCCTAATCCACGAGGAAATCATATTGTCTCGACCTCCAGGACAGATCTCAAATCTATCCAGGGCCCCCACCCTAGTGCAAGATCCATCGTGCCTCTGCTGGACCACTGAGTTGATCTTCCTGCTTCCATTCTTGTCCCTTCTCCGTTTGGACTCCGCCGGCAGCCATCTTGTAAAAATGCACCTGTTTATATCTTGACTAGATGAAAGACATGCCCTGTTCTTATACAGGAAAAGACATACAAGTGTCAGTTTTCCTCAAATTAACCATAAGTACACCTTAGTCTGAAAAAAAAGGGATGTTTTTAAAAGTTGCTGTGGTTTGTATGTTGTTTATTCCCCCTTAGGTTCATATGATGGAAGCTGGATCCCCATTGTGGCCTTATTGGGAGTTGGTAAAACCTTTTAGGGGGGGTCCCAGTGGAAGGTGACTAGGTCCGAGGGTGCCACCTGTGGAAGGGATTAAGGTAGTTCCCAGGGGACAGGTTAGTCGCAAGTGAGGCCATCCCACCCCCTTGGCCCCTTCTGCGTGCAGTTACTTCCCTTTAGACTTCCGCCTGCTGTGACATCATAAAAAGGCCCTCAGCATAGCCCACATGGAGAGGCACCTGATCCTGGACTTTCAGACCCCAAAACTGTGAGCCAAACAAATTTACTTTCTTGATCAAACACCCCAACACAGGTGTTTTGATATAGCAACATAAAACAGACTAAGACACAAGCAGACAAACTGATTCAAATGTCCAAACTTCAGAAATGTAGGAATAAGGAGCAGCACTGTGACGACAGGGCAGGCTACTGCATGGGTCACCAGCAACCCATATCAGAGCACCTGTTCAAGTGCTGGCCACCACACTTCTGATCCAGCTCCCTGCAAATGCACCCGGGAGGCAGCACAAGGTGGCCCCTGCCATCCATGTGGGAGACCCGGATGAAGTTCTAGATTCCTGTGTTTGGTTCTAGATTCTGGCCCTGGCTATTGTAAGCCGTCTGGGGAGTGAACCAGTGGATGGAGCAGCTCTGTCTCCCTCTCTCCTTGTCACTCTGCTTTCAAACAAAAAATAAATATTTTTAAAAAGTAGTAATATATATCCTACCAGATATTTATCAAGAAGAAAAAGAATAATAAACCCAATGGAAAATAGAGGCAAAGATCATGAACAAGTAGTTCTCAGACAAGGAAATGTGAATAGTTCTTAAAATGTGGTAAAATCTTCAATCTGTCACATGAGAAGATAAATGTACATTAAGACCACATTGAAATCCCATCATGACCTAAGGCTGGGCATAGATAAAAAGTATGAGGAACACACTGTTTTGGCAAAGATCTACAGAGAATCAAATGGTCTCATATATCATTCATGGGACTGTGAAGTATCACAGCTGTAATAAAGAACAATTTGGAGTAACTATTAGAACTTAAAATGTATCAAACCCTTTCATCTAGCAGTTCTGCTTCTAGAAATGAATCCTACATGTGTGTGGTCCTGCACAAAAAGGCACACATAGGAAGGCAGCATTGAAATGTCTAGGCAGGAGAGACTAATTCAGTCAATTATGATACATTTATATGATATTTGCAGCTATTTTTAAAATAAGACCAATTATATGTACTGATAAA